AATTGTGATTTGTTGTTAATTGGTATTGTTTTTAACAGACAGGTGTTTGCACAGGTAAAGAAATCGAACGAGGAAGTTACACCCTTTGCCCGTTTCCATTTTATTGAGCCAATTGACAAACGACTGAAACGCTTATCGTTGTCCTTGTTTAATAATGCTTGTAATTTGTTATTCTTTTTGTGTTATTTTTAAATCGTTTGCTACACATATTATCATGCTAATGAATATTATTATTATTAACGATTGGTAGTCTTATTATTGACTATTGTGCAGAATAAACGCAGTATGCTGTAATACAATTGAATGTACTGCACAATACATCCAAACCTCGGTAGTTTTGTAGTTAGTAGGGCTTATTTTAGCAACTCGTATGTAGTCCAGCTCTCTCTCTCATAGATACGTTCATTACAAGATCAGCGCACTTTTTTATATGTATATTTATTTATATACGTTCAATTTCAGTTTGACTAACGGATAACCGTGCTAACCATCAGAATTAGTGTTTGGCTTGTGCAGAAACGTCATAATGAGCGTTGAAAATCATATTGAAAATGATTGCAACAGCATGAAGCTAAATGGGTCAGCCTGCCAGTCAGAAGAAATATCGGCAATGAGTGATAAATTAAACACAATTTGTATCGATGCAAAATTCATTTCGACTGTTCACGTTGAAGTTCGACTCAAGAAAGGAGTGTATGTTTTTTCAATTTTCCATTCTACTCACTTCTCTGATTTTATTTTCGCTCCTTCCGTAAAATTATGTCGCTTTTAAAAGGTTGCGATCCTAGCAAAGAACTGTTTATGCGTTCAATATGTGAGATGTAGGGCCGTAGCAGTGTGCTTCCGTGGCGCAATCGGTTAGCGCGTTCGGCTGTTAACCGAAAGGTTGGTGGTTCAAGCCCACCCGGGAGCGGTAGCTTTTGTCGCCTTCCAACTCAACTATTATGAGTTGCTAGTGATGGATAATTCCTTGCTTTCTTGGTTTGGCCGTAACGCAATTCTTTTTTTTTTCGAACAAAGCATATCGTAACCGGGATAACTAAATAGACTATTCTATTCAGAGCTGTCTGATCGCAACATTTGATCGATAGCATCACCCGAACCCCTAATTGCCACAATGTCAACAGTACGATCTCTCCCTCGGGTAAATTCTAACTGCAAACTCCAATTTCAGCAGTAAATTAGAGGTTGAAAAATGTCGACCGTCGATCCGCGACGCATTGCTTTCATCAGAGAATGTGCTCAACTGGCGTCCCATTTCGCTATCAGACGATAATGGCGACCTTTCGAAAATGATCGATAATATTCTGGTCGGATGCTCTGCGAGACCGGACGGTTGGTTTTGAAACTGATCCGTTCTGCTCGAATGTTGACTGCCAGCAAATTTGCATGATTAAATTCAGGGGCGATCATGAAATGATGAAACCCTCTCGTTTTGAAAGTTAACATTTTTTGCTATCTAAGAAATTTTCATGCAACCCAAATAATTTCTTATTGCTGTAGAATCATGCATGTAAAAGCAACGATGAAATTCAGGTAGTGTATTGAATCTACGCAATTTAACGATATTGGATTCAAATGTGCATATTTATCGAATGATGGAATACGAACCCGAAAAACAAGAGATATGCGTTGACAACGATACACAGAGCACATCAGTTGGGTCACAGATTTGGGCATTGCCATGCCAGGAGTTCGATCAAATCTGGGAGAATTTGATATTTAGTGATAATATCAAAAATGAGGTGACTTTTTTGTGCCTATTTGTTGTTCGTTTAAAACTTTTCTTCGAAACAATCACCAAATTGATCATTCGATCCTTTGAATGACTAAATAACAACTTTAGCTCCTTTCATATATCTACGCGGTATTGCGCATATCGGACCGCGGTGCAAACACGTCGATTCTACGCATCAATCGACTTATACTTTTGCACGGTCAGCCTTTTTCACCTTTATTCAGCACTCCTTTCATCAGTGTCCGATAGAGAAAATACGTTGGGATTCTTCTGCTAGATGTTGATAGTTTCATACGCATCTCTCAGGATTTCAGCGTTTATTTCAATCGTGAATCCCTTCTCGTATGTCATTCAAAAAACAGCATTAACCCAAAGTTTGTTGATTTTGCTGAAGCAATCTTCGGTGGAAATTTTCGGTTTAAGGGCCTATCTGGTGTTAGAGGGGTGATGTTTTATGAAATAAACAACTTTCTAGGTCCACCTGGAACGGGCAAAACGTCGTTGTGTAAAGGTCTCGCCCAAAAACTATCGATTCGCCTCAACAAACGATACAAGCAGTCAGTCTTCGTTGAAATCAACAGCCATAGTCTCTTCTCGAAATGGTTTTCTGAGGTCAGCATACAATACTTTGTTTGTGTGATAATTTTATTCAGAAGGGAGTGAAATAAAGATTGCTTTTTAGAGTGGTAAATTGGTGCAGAAGATGTTCGATCACATTGAAGAATTGGCCGACGATAATAAAACACTTATTTTTGTGCTTATCGATGAGGTGGAGAGTCTGTCGATGGCAAGGGCGGGTGCGTTGAATAGAAACGAGCCGGGCGATGCGGTGCGTGCCGTGAACGCATTGTTGACTCAGATCGATCGAATTCGACGATTTCCGAACGTTCTCGTGCTGACCACTTCCAATATATCCAAGGTCTTTATTTGTTTTAAGGCATTCTCATCACAAACCAATTGTTGGCTTATTTCGAAATACTTCATCATTTCATAGGCTGATGAATATGATATGTTGTAGATGTATGGCGATGTTTTGTTTGTTAATTAGCAAGTAATCAGTAAGATATTGCAGAGTCTGGATGAGGCGTTCATCGATCGCGCTGACATCAGCCGTTTTGTGGGACATCCATCTGTTTACGCGGTCTATGCGATTCTTCTGTCGTGCATCCAGGAAATGCAGCGGGTGTGCATTATGAAGACATCACTGCTTTGAANATTATTCCATTTTCAGATCAGCATTGGGCTTGAGTGGACGAGCACTAAGGCAGTTGCCTGTGTTGGCGTATTCAAAGACTAATTCGGTACAATGCAGTATTATTTATGCATTTGCACTAGTACTTTAAAATGTACAATTGATTGCAAGAGAGTATATTTCAGGAGAGTATAACAATAGAACAGTGTCTAGATGCCTTTCAAATGGCAATCGATGAGAAACGTCACTCATCGAGCAGCAGCTCATCGCTTTGAGAAACGAATCAGTCTCTTCTCATCAATAACATGAACTCAGATTTTAATCGACGTTACGCACCAAAAATGTTCGTTATTATTCGTTCACTCTACACTGCACGTTCTCTACAAAATTTTGTTCCAAGTTACCTACAGGTTCTTCTCTTGTATTTGTATATAAACTACAATAATATCACTACTCGTCCCTCAGGTCGGAAGTCATTCCATTGTTCTCTTCTATTCTGATGTTGTTGTCGTTTGTTGAATTATTGTCTCATATACGCAAGTGTATTTTCTTTTTTTCAGTTTGTTGAAACAAATCAATCTTATTTATTTTATTGCGCAATAAATGACGATAACAACAACACATAAAGTGCAAATAATGATGTATAGTGATCGATTTAACTATAAGAAGAAACGCCTCCGACTCGTCTCCATTTCGTGTCTCTGCAAATTAACGGTTTTTACTGAATTATCGTCGCAAGTCAATCTACACTAGAACAGTCATTCCAATGTCAACAATAAAGATGAACGTTNATTGACAAATAACGTCTACCTTCAAAACCCATTCATATTCTCCGCAACGTGAGTCGAACGTTCCTTTCTGTAGCCATTTGAGTCGAAGTGTGAAGCGTGGACCGAGCTCCAGCAGAGCGGCTTTCTCACCTTCGCGTTTGAATTCATATCTTAAACGTGTCGTGCGAGTAACGTTATGCGTTGTGCAAAATGTGAATACCAAAAAAACAATGAAACAGTGATGGTGAATTTTTGAATTTGGGTACTTAAAAGTTGGTGCGGTCGCATTCCGAACGAACTCAAACTTCACGCGACAATAAGAAGTGCTCACCTGTGGTGCCTAAAGAAGATGTAATCTCGTTGATTATGGAATGTGACCACACGTCGTCCTGTGAATGCCGGCTGATGTGGAAATAAACACGCAAACATTCTCGCCACTGTATGTCCTAACCGAGTGTTGAAATTGTTCAAAATCACCTCTGGATTATGATCCGTTGTTTCGCCTTTTCTCTGAAATATTTTCACAATTACCGATTAAAGAAGCGAGATTACAAATCCAACGAATTAACCTTGAGGTCTTTTGTAAATTTGAGACTGTTAATCCTAAAGAATGCGGTTGGTCCATCAGGTAAGTGGCACAATACGATACCATCTGAAAAAAGGTAATCACTGTATTTATTATCACTCAATTTGAGCAATATCGTATCACAAGTGTAAACAAAAATCAGAAAACAANAACTCGGTATTTTGCGATCTTCGTGCACAACAATTAAGTCTGTATAATCTTTCTGTTTCGCTTGTTTCACAACCTTCTTCAACGCCACACCTTTCCTTGTGTACACTTCCGCATCCGGTATACATTTTTGAAGTTCGTAACAAAATTTGAACGTGTTCTGAAACATTGTGAATCGTTCGTTTTGTGAATTTCTGAGGGAGAGTCATGACTAAGTGATATGCTACTGGTAAGTATCAGAATACGTAATACTATCACCAACCACTTTCGCGTATGGTGATGTCGTAATAAGAACCTTCGGTGACGTTTCCCGATTGAAATATGAACTCATCTCATCGTTTGCTTCATCATTCAAGATCTGAATTTAAAATGTGCACTACTGGGTCTTCCGGAGGGGTATTCGTTTTCGGTGTTTCAAATTTCGCGTATTTTTAGGACATGATATGTGTATTATTTGAAATTTGCTCACTTTATCATTTCATATAAATGGATCACTCGATTTTTCGTGTTCAAAAGCGTTAATTTGATCCAACAATATCTGCGTTCTGATCAAAAATACTCATCAAAAATCGAGGCGAACCTCTTCATCATCAGCTTCAACCATGGTCATATCATATTCCCGAGTGCTTTCAATCGTTTTCGGTTGTTGTTTCGGTGGTGCCGCATCAGCCAGCTTCTCGCGCAGTTTACGTCTAGCATCTTGTCGAGCACGTTTCTCCTTAAACTCGTTGATTGGTGTAACGCGTCAATATTGAACTCATTTCATTTGATAAAAGTTGCAAATGACCTACAGCTGCTTTTTGGAGACGCATACTGCGGCCTTTTTGTTGCTTCGCAGTACGAGATAACTTCCGAGATGATCCATTTATCGTTGATGCTGAGCTTGCGGATGGTTTGCTTTTTGATGGTCCCGGCTCAGCACCCTCCTCTTGACCATTCATCTTGCTCGGTCTTGAACCTTCGCTTTTCTTCCTTTCTGTTACACGATAAACGGTGAAGTTATATTTACTTGAACCGATAAATATCACTTCAACTGAATTCTTGATGCGATCAGCGGTTCTCAGTTATACCAATTTCG